TTTTGAAGGGATTTCTCGAGAACAGATGCAATAAGCACGAGCACCCGTGGGGTTCCCGAAACTCCTCTACCGGATTCATCTGATAGACCCAAAGCCATGAAAGTTTCTGATTCAGCAGCCATACCTTTGGCGCCAGACTTGAATCAAAGCTGCAAATATGTATACTTGCATTAGTGAAAATAGAGAAGGCAAAACCATGGAACTAATACTACGTACTGTCTGATTCCTACAAATGACTGAAAATCACACTGTAAGGATTAGGGTTCGACCTTATCTGAGCTAGCTTCTCTGTCTGAAAACTACTCTGACAAGAACATTGCCATCGCCAAAATTAACCAGGGATAAAGAGGAAGTGCATCTTTTTCCAAGCTATTCTTTCCTTTCAGATAAAGTTTACACGGAACATACTGATGTGACCTTTGAAATTAAAGACTATTCCAAGTGGGCCAATTGGGACAATTATTCAAGCCTTTACATTGCAGCACTACATAAGTTTCTCAAAGACAAGTAGCAGAAAAGGAATACTCTGCCATCATGCACTAATTAAGGTGCATACATGTGCTGCACACAAGTAGAAGAAACACAGAACATCGACGTAGATTCCAGGTACTATAGTAGGAGAACCAAGATAAAGTTTCAGGCACAGCCCATGTCAAGCATGGATAACTTTTTGTAAAGCTGGTCTTGACTTACTGCTCGTTGAAGGAGATGAATCGCTTTGGAGTTCTTAGTTTCTTATTTGATGATTAGAGGGGTATTTTTTTTTGACATATCACAAGTGCCCTCAGCTTTTTTTATTTTACTTAGCTATAAATCATAGTTTTCAAATCCATTTTAGGATTTGATTTTAAAAATTAAACTCGGGTTATTGAATTACCACATCAATATAAATCATTTTATTAATCATTAAGACTTTGTTTAGGTTTTTTTTTTTTAATTCCTTAATATTGACTCGATAAAGTTTAGATTGAGTTTGACTAATCAATGAGGTTATAGACCAATCTATCAAATAAATTAAGTTTTCGTTAGATTAGTCAGATTAATATTTTTTTATTCAAATTAAGATTTTTTTTGTATTAAACCTCAGATCACAAGTTTTTCAAATTACACAATTAATCAAATTGGATTTAATAACTATGATTAACACCCTCCAAAATTGGTATTACTTAGATTTAAGTGATTACCACAACATTGTATGATAACATGTTTACAAAGCAAGAATAATAACCAGAATGCTTGTTGCATGAACTAGAGACTGAAATCTTCAAATATGACTTGAGGATCGAGCATAGTTATCCAACCTGTTTTGTCCAAAGCCATGAACACATATTAAATTTGCTTCACACCCCTCTTCCAATCTTGTGTTCATGCACATAAGCTTTTGGAAAACCAACTTGGGGTTCTAATTAATCAAATGGTGACTAAAGAAAGATGAAGAAATTGAGAGATGTATTTATACTCAAAGATTAGCCTTCAACATAATTAGAATAGTGGAATCTCTCATGTCATGGTGGCCAAATTCTTTTAACACCAACATTGTTGTTTTCATACGACAAATTGACATCTCAGCAGACGTGGACAGCATAAAATCCAGTCGAAATTGTGGGAGGATGTCCTTACGTGCTTCTCTTACAATTTCGTTGAAGCCTGCAGCGTGGAGGAGCTTGCAGTCAGTTTGAAGTAGTCTCGAGGTAATTTTTTCTTATAGCCTTGAAAAGGGAGGTGTGATTGAGTTTGTCATATATATCTCTATTTTCAGAGAGAAAGATGTGCTTAAAACTTTGTAAATCCAACTAGAATTACATATAAATTTGAGCTCTATATATATATATATATAGTAATTTGAAAGAAACCAGCAAGAAATTAACACCAAGCAGTGTGTGTATACTATAGGGTGAACCTATCAGTGGGCAAAGAAATCATTGATCTCTCCTTCAGTAGTTGAAGATTAAAATTTCTGCAATCCAATCTCTCATCTGCGAGGAAAAGGAGGCTTCACTTATATGAGAGTTGCTAATTAGGCATGGCTGCTGACAATGCAATCTATGTGCTACTTGAGACGTAAGATAAACACTAACAATTAGCTTTTTAACTCGTGCGACGACAGGGATCAAATTTTATTTTCTAATAATAAAAAAAAAATGAAGATATTAGAAACATGCTAGATGACGTTCTTTTAAAATATAAAAATATATTACTTTTCAGTTTTTAAAGTGAAATAATACTCGAGTTAGGTTTTTTCCCATCAAATATAATTTAATATTGATTTTTTGAATCAATAAAAATTAACTTTTTTGTTTATAACTGGAATCGAGAAATCTGTCTTATCTTTATTTTTTTATTTAGTGATTAAAAAATAAAAAATAAAAATTTATATCAATTTTTTATTTTTTCTTAAATATTGAGGGGCTGAAATATTTTCATTTAAAATCAAATGTGGGTACTATTCACTCTAGTTTGGTGCACGTAGCCTTTAAGGAATCCTTATTCCTTATAAGGGAGTCACCGGAATCCTCCATAGTTGTTAATTTGAAGCAGTGATATTTTTCTTCTTCCCGGAGAGGAAATTCATTGATCAAATACATTTCCATGTTAATTCATTCATCAAATACCCTTCAATGTTAATTCATTAATCAATCTATAATTTGGCTGACCCAATGAATAATCTAATCATAATTTAAAAAATAATAATTTAAAATTGACATGATTAGTCAGATAAAAATCCAGTTTAAAATTTAAAACAATATTATTTTAATTATTTTTTAAAAATTTAAATAATATTATTTTATATTAACCCAAATTAATTAGTTTGATTCTTGATTCAATCATTGAGTCGTATTATAGATTTAAGTTTAATATCTTCATAAAAAAATGAAAACAAAAGGATGGAATTTGAGAACTACATGGCTATATATACTTGTGTTTCCCAATTAAAATACCATACAATTTTGTTAACTCGATGAGAAATAGTTATATTTAAAGACAGTTATGTAAGATCAATCATTAACAGCATATTGTTTGCATTGATTTGTTCTTGGATAACCCTTGAAGTGTCACGTTCAGGCATTGAATAAATTCAGGCAGCCCCACCATAATAATTTAAACCAAGGAAAACAATTCCATAAGCAACGGGTCAATGAACTAGTGGCCCACTTGTGGGCCCATGACACCCCCCTGCACTTCCATTTTTACACATAATGATTCCAAAAATAAATTAATTAATTAATTGCTGTGAAATCGATCAATGCATGAATAAAATCTTGGGTAACGTGTTCGTTATTTTTTCTGTGTGCTCTTCACTTTCTCTTTGATTAGGGTTTCTATCACTGGAATTTCTATGATTCCATGCTTCAATCTCCAACAAACATAATTATTTGCAGTTTATAAATTAAAGGAAAAATAAAATAAAAGAGGACCACATGATCTACATTTCTTTTCTCTTTTTTCTTTTTTAAAATATTGCATTGCAATGGCTATTATTGTTATGGAATAGCAATAAGACAAGGGATAATAAGATTGTAAATTTTTTTTTTTTGATATGTTACAAAATATATAATATAAGCTTGAATTGTAAAACTATAAAATTATAAGTAAAATATTTTAATTAAATATATATTAACAATCTCAATCAAATAGTAATTAACAATACAACAGAATAAAAATAAAAATAAAATAAACAATAAAAAATTCTAAACACCTTTATTTTATTTATATTGATTTATTTATTTTTTGAACAAATCTACCCACTTACTTTATTATTTATAAGAAATGAGTCTATTTAAATTTTAATAGACCATTTAACATTAATTACTCCAAAAATCAAGCATGTCAATTTACAATTTTTATTATATAGATTTGTCATCTAAAACAGAGTAATATATTAATTGATTTGTTAATAATTTATATAAAAAATTGTGAAGAATAAATAAGTATTTTAATTTTAAGGAAATAAAATCCACAAATACATTATATCGTTAAAAAAATTATAATAATCATAGTCAAAATCAAGCCCTTGATTATCAAATTAAAAAAGTTTTGCAAGATATAAATTTAAAATAATAAAAATGTTAAGGTGCAAATTATCAAAAAGCATAATTTTATATTTTTTTCAAATTTGTAAAATTGGTTTGATTTTACCGAGTTTGACCGATTTTACTAGTTTTTTTAGTTTTAATCTAATTTGACATATTAAATATATTTTAACTTATAAAATCATAAAATTTTAAGAATCAAAACTCACTGTGTTAATAATATTAATGAGTAATTTGTCCCCTTGCATTTAAACACTTTTTGTGGAAATGGCTTATACGCATGTACTAAAAACTAAAAAATCATGTACATGGATATAAATTTCAATGCATCGAAGTTATATTAAAAAAAATAGTTATTAAAATTTGGGTTGGATTAGAAAAGAAGTTTCTAATATTAGATTAGCTCATGCATCATTAGTTTAATTAATTTTATTAAAATAATATTTTTTTTATTTTTTTTAAAACTATTCATTGTAATTGACCTTTCTCGATATGGATTGAATAAAATTTGGTAAATCACTAAAAATTCATTGAGTTTTAGCATTTATTGTTATTTTTTTCTAAATTAAAATAACTAATCATTAACTTTTAAAGGATATAACTCAACTAATTCGGTTTATAATTTCTTTATATATCAAAAAACTGGATAGAGCATGAGCAACCAGCCAAACACACTGCATTATCCCTCTATAATTTATTTCTCTAAAAGAACAATACCAGTTCTAGCAAGTCGATCGTCGAAACAAATTCTGACCCCTCGATCCCATATCAAAATCTAAAGAGTGAGTGTAACATACAACAACACATTATTATATTGCCCAGAAGAAGAATTTACACCAGAAACGTGCAGCCATGCTCTCTCTTTCTCACCAAACTCATTTTGATTTGCGAATAAATATACTCTTGACTATATATATATACATATACGCAAACGTTATGTGTGTATAGGCCAATCAAAATGGCCTCTTCTAAGCCCCGAAGTTCGTGTCAAAAACTCTTCATCACTTCCCTCTTATTCCTCTCTTTATCCTTCATGTTCCTCGTCTTCTCTTTCAAGCCAAAACCTGGCTATGCGCTTGATCACCACCCTCAGACAGCAGCCCGTGACATTAAGAAACCCTTATCAATCAGCACGCAAAAATCATGGTTCGATGGCCTTATCGAGAAGAAAACCGATAGCGAACCGATCAAGATTGGCTTAGTTAACGTTGATGATCACGTCAAGCATGCATATGATCGTATGCATGGACAAGTAGAGACTGTTAGTGTAGATTTCAGGCCTGTATCCAAGGAGCTAAAATGGGAGAGTTTTTTCCCAGAGTGGATCGATGAAGACGCCAGGTGGCACCAACCGTCGTGCCCGGAGGTCCCAATGCCTCGGCTAGACGATTACCGTGACCTAGATGTTATCCTGGCTAGGGTTCCTTGTGGCAGCGGATCAGAGAAGCAAGGGATTAGGGATGTGTTTAGGTTGCAAGTGAACTTGGTGGTGGCTAACCTCGTAGTGGCCAATGGGGTGACCAAGGGAGGTGGTGATCGGACGGTGTATGTTGTTTTCATGGGGTCTTGTGAACCCATGCAAGAAATATTTAGGTGTGATGATTTGATGACTCGTTTAGGAGATTATTGGGTGTACAAACCTGAGTTGAGGAGACTTCGACAAAAGGTGCAAATGCCCGTTGGATCATGCCAGATTGCTCCTCTTGGTAGATTATTGACAGGTATGTCTTAGGTCAATTTGATTTATTTTATTTGCGTTAGGAGCAAACTACATGTTGATGATAACTGGAAGAATATAAAAATAAATTAGATTAAGAGATTGATAATATCTTCACTCACCAATCATGAACTTTCTTCTTCATGAAGATACGATTTTTTCAATTTCCTAATTAAAAACATTATTTTAATAAATGACTAAGCACAAAAATAAGTTTATACAATTAACATCATTAATTGAGTAGTGTTTGTTTATTATTTGGAATTAAAAAAACATAATTAATTACAACAAAAAAGACATGTCTCTTATATTTTTTATATTTAAAAAAAAATCATTTCAAAATTTTTATAAAAAGCAATTTGTTTTTACATCTTTGTTTATATATATTCATTGCACCAAACACATTTATATTCCTTTTATGTCTATGTTCCTTTTATATTCATATACAACTATAAATATTCGTTAAACTTGATTTAATTTGATAATTGCCTATCTAAAACTTAATTTTATTAGAGAATAATATAAACCATATCTTGAGATCTTATATAAAAGTTCAAGTTATTGGGTTGAGATGATTCTTTGACATGGTATCAGAGCTTTAATAACCAAATGGTTACGAGTTTGAATCTCATCACTCCTATTTATTTGATAAAAATCAAATATAAGGTAATGCTACCTGTGTAAATTTCAAGACTAAAAAACTTTCATTTGAGGAGGTGTGTTAGAGAATAATATAAATCATATTTTAAAACTTTACCTAAAGACTTGGATTGAATTTTAAATTATATTAAATAAGAATTAACTCAATTTAACCCAATTGATCTAACTAAAATCTAATTTAACTTTAAAAAACTAAAATTTCGAATTAATATCATTTTAAATTAAAAATAGGTTTGTACTAGCTAAATTCTAAGCGGTTCACATGAACTTTGGCATGTGATATATATTTCTACAAGAATCAACACTTGCGTCCGTGCACCGTTGAAACAATTAATTATACACTCCCATAACACATGAAATAATCTTAGCATTGTAATTAACATCTTGATTTTGTGCTGTGTTGTTTTTTTAATAGTTTGAATTTGTTTGTTAATATGCAGGGAGCCGAGGAACTCAGAGACATTCCATGGCACAATATTCAACAGCAAGAAAACCCAATGACAGCATCTTGTATAATCAAAGGGTTGCCTATGCAACAGTAATCCATTCCTCGGAAGCTTATGTTTGTGGAGCAATTGCTTTGGCTCAAAGTATAATACAAAACAACTCTACTGCCGACCTCGTCCTCCTCCATGATTCATCATTAAGTCCAGAGTCCCTAGGTGGTCTTAGAGCCGCCGGGTGGAGGACGAAGCTCATCCAACGTATCCGAAGCCCTTTTGCTCGAAAAGACTCGTACAACGAATGGAACTACAGCAAACTTCGGCTTTTGCAACTCACAGATTATGACAAAGTTATTTTCATAGATGCTGACCTTATAGTCCTTAAGAATATCGACAAGTTCTTCGCTTATCCACAATTATCAGCTGCTCCGAATGACAAGGTGCTATTCAACTCGGGGATCATGGTGATTGAGCCGTCGTTGTGCTTGTTTGAAGACATGATGTCAAAGAGAAATAAGTTGCTTTCATACAACGGAGGTGATCAAGGGTTTCTCAATGAAGCCTTCACATGGTGGCATCGGTTGCCTACGAGGCTGAATTATCTCAAGATTTTCAAGAACCAAGGAAACCCAGATCATGAAATGCAGAAGGGTCCCTACACCATCCATTTCTTGGGATTAAAGCCATGGGCATGCTACAAAGATTATGATTGTAATTGGGACATGGTGGATCGCCATATTTTTGCCAGCGACTCGGCTCACAAGAGATGGTGGCAGGTTTATGATGCCATGCCAAAGAAATTGCAGCAATATTGTGGACTCACGAAGCATATGGATGCAAGGATAAGGAAATGGCGAGGGAAGGCTAAGAATGCGAGCTTGCCAGATGGTCATTGGAAGATTAATGTTAAAGATCCCAGACAATACCATCTTAACGATTAAATTAAATTAATTGCTATGTATTCTTGTAGCTAGCTAGTGCATTACTGTAGCTAATCAAGATTTTCCAAGAGCACTAATATTTTGACAACTTGAACATTAGAAATTATCTTCTCAGAGAATAAACCGATTCATCAATTATTGGTTGGCTTAATTTTAATACTGTGAATCCATTCTATACATTATAACATTCTGTTTCTTTGTTTGACCTTGTATATGTGCTCAATGCATTCGCAAATTTAAAAATCATGATTCCTGTTGATGCTTACCATAAGCACCATCGGACTTTGTTATGGGCATGAACCAGAGTACAGGCTTGGCCTGGCCATATTAAGTTAGTGCTTAATTTAAAGGTTTGTTTCTAGTTTTAAAACCGAAAAAAAATATTTCTATTTTCATTTTTTATTTGTTTTCAATTATTTTTTTATATTTTTAAAGTATTTTTATGTAATGATGATATAAAAATGAATTTTAAAAAATAATAAAACTATCATTTTAATATAATTCAAAATAAAAAAATATTTAAAAAACAACTGTGTAACACTTTTAGTGGCGCCTGGCAAGGTGGGGGGAGAGGAATGCATTCTTTATATGAACCTATAAAAATTGCTCGATCATCCGTCTTTTTTTATCCTGGTCCCCATGTTATTGAAATCTGATTTAAGAACTCGAAAATAGATCACATCTTCATGAATGAAATGCTCGAAAAACATTCTTAATTGGCCTATATATCATGCAATGCTCGTAAATCCTGTTAATTCATGTACAGTTATCCACTTCCAGACCCAATAACTGAACAGCAGAGTGATCAATCTTGAATACAAATAGTTGCTCAAGGTATGCGAGCAAGTAAATTTCTCCATTAGAACACCAACAGGGCTGAGACAATCCAGGCAGTTCATCTCTTCAGAGCACTACTGAAGTGTCCAATCTTGTCTATTCCATCTACTATCACCTGCCTTACAAAACATAACAACGCTTCAGAGCAGTACTGAGGCATTTTTTTTTATTGTAATGATAAGAATTGAAAGGAGATTTAATAGCTACAAATGTAAGAAAAAATGCTGAGCATGCTAACACCCAACGATGTTGTGGACTCCAATGGCTTGGCGATATTCATTGAGTCTGGACAAGAAGCATATCCATATAATTAAGAAGACAGAAACATGTAATAGTTCATTACATTGCACTGATTGCTGTTGCTGCTCTGTGTCTCTACAAACCTCCATTAAATTAGCTTATAGAAGCAAATAAACTAGGGGGAAAAAGCATGCTATTAAAAGATTTTAAATAGGCTCAATAGAAAATTCTAGGACATAGCATTCACTGACGACTCCTATGTAAAAATAAACTTTTTTTCCAACCAATCTTGCTGCTCTGACGCCAATAAACAATAAGCTATTGTTTTCTAATTATTGTTTTTTTAAACCTTTTCCTTTTGCCGTTCCTGTCCACTGTATCTTGTCCATGCACGAAAGTCATTTTGAATAAAATAAGTTCAATCATGGTTGTACAACCTAAATCGGTTTTGTGGATTAATTCAAGATTTAGATTAGTCTAGATTAAAATAAAATAAAAAATTCTAGTTCTTTTATGTTTTATTGGGTCCAAACAACTTTTAACCCGATAATTTTTTTATAAAAAAATTTATTTTTATTTGACATCATATTGATTATTTAAAGCAATTAAATTAAATTAACCTAGAACAAGAAGCAAGAATGTACATTTATATATAATTTGTATATTATAAAAATGAGCTAAGGAGGTTCATTCATCTACTCTGGGTTGCTATTATAAAAATTGAATTTCTCACTTATTTTAAAAAATTATTTGGGTTATCTCAACTTTTAATATTGAATTATTTAATAATTAAATTGTAAAGTTTTATTCATTTTACTTTTGATGTGGTTATTCGAATATTACACCTAGATTACAGAAAAAATTTATAGCTTGGTTTGACTTAGAATTGTTTTATAATTTTTTTCAAAAATATTTTTTTTTTTTAATATTACATTGTTTAATAATTGAGTTTCATAATTTTATTCGATTTTTTTTGCACGGGTTAACTCTCACGACTAAGTTGCATATGTTACATTACATGCTAATTCTGATGAATTTGAGTTAGTTTTTATTTTATTTTATTTATTATAGTTGTATTTTTTTAATTTTTTTATTAAATTAATTCAACTTATTAAACCCTAGTCAAACCAATGATTCTCATCTCTTTTCTTCTTCTTTTTTTAAATGCTTGCATCACCTTAATATTAATTTTTTTGCATTATAGAAAAATTTAGGTTATCCTGATGTGGAGCACGTACCACCTATGTAGTATCATATAATTGTAGTATCATATAATTATCATGTCAAAGCATGAAACTTGCATTGTGGCATCATTTGATAGCACGTTTTGGAAAAAAAAAAAAAATCTGGCATGAAGGTGACCTGGCTACGAGATGTTTTGGACTCTAATGGCTTGGCCAGATCCATTGAGGAATTCAACAAGAAGTTTTTCGATATAATTAAAAAGATAAGAGACTTGCACAACATCATGTTTGTAGGGATGAAAGGGAGTGCATATGCAAGAAGCAATAACTGGATTAATTTCACTTGTATGTAAGAATCTGAGATACAGTACTCATGAATTGCAGTCTTTCTAATGTTTCTGGCACAGCCATTAATGCTCATGTACTCATTCTGACGTTACCTGCACAAGGGCATGTTGCCCCGACGATGAAGTTGGCATACCGCCTTGCTGATCTTGGAGTCAGAGTCACTTTTCTTACAGCAGAATGTACATCTGATCAACTTGTCAGTGAGCAATCAAGAAATAAGGATGCTTTGCCAAAGATCCAGGGTGGACCTTATCCGGAGAGGGTGAAGACAGTTTTTTTTCCTGATGGACTGAAAAGTACAGAATTAGATGAGAGAAGAGATACTGTGAAGTTCTTGGAGAGAATTGTAAAGGTCATGCCATATCATGTGGAGGAATTCATCAAGAAGGCTAATCAACCTGAGTCTGAGAAGGATGAAAAGATTACTTGTGTAATTGCTGATTTTGTCGTGGCGTGGGCACTGGAGATTGCAAATAAGATGGGGCTAAAAGGGGCTATCTTTCTTTCATCAGCACCAGGAATTGTATCCATGGTGTTGCAAATACCACATCTTATTGAGGCTGGCATCATCGATGCCGAAGGTAAGCAACTAGTTCTTAAACTATGACTTCTTTAAAGCAGGGATTGCGTCCTGTGCTGCTAATTTTGCTTTTGGATATTCATTGATCGATCAACTAGTTATATAACATAGCCCAACTTTATGAAATTTCAACATGTATGTGCAACAGTGTAGCTGTACTAACTAAGAGATTTTTCATTGGTTTAACCATGTCTAGGAACTCCAAAAAAGACGGAAAAGGTTATGTTGTCACCATATCTGCCAGCTCTGAGCAGTGATGATTATGTGTGGAATTTCCCAGGACAGAAAGAGTTGCAAAAGGTTGGGTTTGAATTTGTGCGTTCCGGTGAGCCTTTTCTGAGAACATCCAACTGGGTTCTGTGCAACTGGTATCGCGACCTTGATCCTTCAGCTGATGGTTTACTCCCAACCACATTATCGATTGGTCCTCTACTTGCAAATGATCGGCCTAGTGGAAATATGTTTTCAGAGGACCTTACTTGTTTAAGCTGGCTCGACAGACAACCACCAGGATCGGTTGTTTATGTCTCTTTTGGCAGCACAGGGACACTTAATTCTCATCAATTTGATGAATTAGCCCTTGGCCTTCAACTTATGGGCAGACCATTTCTCTGGGTGGTGCGGCCGGACATCAGCCATGAGGTTGCTAGTGCTACTGTTGGTCTCCGAAATAGACGAGCAGATGATCATCAGCTTGGAAAGATAGTTCAGTGGGCACCTCAAGAAAAAGTGTTGGCTCACCCTTCTGTTGGATGCTTCTTAACTCACTGTGGTTGGAACTCAACCGTAGAGGGCATAAGCATGGGGGTTCCCCTGCTTTGCTGGCCTCACACGGGGGATCAATTCTATGTCAGGACTTGCATATGTGATGGCTGGAAGGTTGGTTTGGAGCTAAAGCCAAACGAAGATGGGATCTTTACAAGGCATGAAATCAAAAGCAAAGTGGATGAATTGCTCATCAATGGTGGTATAAGAGAAAATGCACTCAAGATTAAGAGGTTGGCTCTGATGAGTTTGTCCAAAGGTGGATCCTCTTCAAAAAATCTTGAACAATTTGTCGCGGAACTTGTGCTTTGAAGATTGTTTCTGCCACTCTGTTTCTAATCAAGTTAATGTATCAGCAACAATGGCCGTTTTCATAACACGATGGAACACCTTGACTCATGATAGCGGTAATGGGCATTACATCATGGCAAGGACGGAGATAGGAATTCACAAGAGGATGTGTCAAGATTAAAAAATAATTAAGATTAATTTCAAAACAAGTAAAGTTAGAAGGATGAACGCGGGAAAAAAAAGAGACTTTGGGGAGTGCAAAATACTTAACAAATATAAAAAAAGTCCAAGGGTCAAAGTGAAGATTTTCAAAATTTCAGGGGTGAAGAAAATCTTGATTTCGGCCCTCCATTATGTAACAACAGTCGATTTTTGGTTCCCAACTCTCTTCTTTTTTTCTTTTTTCTCATGAAAATTAAAGAAAAAGGTAAGAATTTGTAATTAAACACCCTTAGTACATTTTATATATATATATATATATATATATATATATATATATATCAAGCTGAAAAAAACTCAAAAACAATAATCTAAAAACCTTAAATTAAACGAGATAAAAAGTTTTTTAAGTTAATATTGAAGTTCAACCATCAAACTTGAATATATTATATCAAAATTAATTAAATTATTGTAAACCAATGACGTTTTCTTTCATTGAAGTTTGATGTTTCTTTCATTCTCATCTCTCAAATAAAAAAATAAAAAATAAAAAGAATAAAGTTTTGGACCAAAACTGAATTTGCTTGAAAATTGAAAAAAATACATGAATCTAATATTTTTAATTTAAAAAGCAAAAGGACTATAATGAATGTTTTCTTAAAAATATGAAAATGCCACTTATTTCCTGTGCTCTTTTCACTTTGATTCTATATCTTTGAATCTTGCTATTTTTTAATAAATTTACTTAAATTGGTCCTAGTATAGTCTTAAAAAAAATCAAGAGATGAAAAAAAAACATACCACCATGACAATCCCCAGTAATTTATATTTTAGTAAATAATGGTGTTTAGAACAATATTTTCATTGCTCCTTTTAAAGCTTGTTAATAAGTTTTAAAATACCATATAAAAAAACTAGTTTTAATTTGGTATGAATTCGAGACACTGGTTATATATTAAGTACTAACTTGATTTTTTTTTCTTTTCTTGTTATTTTTCATATTTTTTTTTTAAATTAATAAACCTATAGTTATAAGATTCAGTTCAATATTTAACTTATGGATTGATATTAATTTGTAATTTATTTTTTTAATTAAAATATCATTTTATATTTTGAAATAAAATATCAAAAAGAATCTATTTAAAATGAAACCTAGTCAAGGTAAAGCTTTGGAACAACAATTTAGCTACTGAATTGAGAATGTGATAAAAACTTTAGTTTTAAAATTTTAAATTTTTTTATATTTTTAAATGATTTTAATGTGTTGATAAAAAAAATTTAATATTTTTTTAAATAAAAAATATTTTAAAAAATAACCACACTACACTTTTAAATTCAATACTTATATTAACCTTTAAGTGGGGAAGTTTTATAACACCATAAATCCATTAATTTACTTACTTTTACTAATGAAAAAAAGAAAAAAAGGACTAAGGAGTCCTGCAATTATGATTTCTTCATTTTCTTATTTTTCAAAAACAAAATTTTCCCCAACTTTTCCCTCCTCTCTCTTCCCTTTCCCTACCCCAACTTTTCCCTCCGCTCTCTGCCCGTTCCCTACTGATTGATCAAAAGAAACCCCCAGTAACTCCATCAATCACTCCTTCTCTCTATTTCTCTTTATGTCACAATGCAAGACTTCTTGGGATCAGTTAGGAGATCAATAGTATTCCGTACACCCTCACAAGATCATAATCCCAATCAAGAAACCAATTACTGCAGTCCAAACAATCCATTAACAACAACATTAGTTGACAAATTAAATAACTGCGTTCGTAAATCAAGAATCTTTAACAAACCCACTTCTCCGTCTTCCCTTCCAATGCCTCCTCCGATCCGGTATCGTAAAGGGGAGTTGATTGGTTGTGGTGCATTTGGCCATGTTTATATGGGCATGAATCTTGATTCTGGAGAGCTTTTAGCGATAAAGCAGGTTACTTTTCATTTGATTCTATCTGGGTTTTTGTTTTTTTTGAGTTTTCAGTGGGTTTCTCGAAATGGGTTTTGGTTAGTTTTTTTTTTTTTTTTTTAACTGTGGGTTTTTGAGAGCTTGATTTTTTTTATGTGTTTTTGTTCAATTTTGGTTTTGGGTTCTGATTTTGAAATGGGGTTTTGTTGGTTTAAGGTTAAGTATGATTCTTTGGGCTATGGACTGGGGTCTGATGCTGAAATGGGTTTTGGAGACTTTCAAGTTTGATACTTTTCACTTATTCTGATTTTGGGTTGATTAATATTGGCTTTAATAATTGTGAGCCTGGTTTTTCATATTTAGTAATTGGTAGTGATCGATTCATAGTTGGGATGGAGTCTGTTACTCTTGCACTTTTAAAAAAAAAAAATTGTTGATAGGTAGTATCTGTGTTGATGTTAAACTTGACTTCGGAAAGTGTTCTCTCAGTTGTTCTGAAAATGATTGTTTGGATGTGATTTTGAGTCTCTTTTCCTTGCTTGTTATTTCTTAGGTTTTGATTGCAGCTAATGGAGCTACAAGAGAGAGAGCTCAGGTATGAATCTAGAACAATTAGTTGTATCTGGTTCCTCGAAATAGTGAAGTTAGTGTTTTAGGATTCTGATTATTTCAGGCTCTCTGAAGAATGAAAATCTATTCAACCAAGATTAGTACGCAAGTGGTTAGCTTCATTGTATTAGGAACAGGGGGGGGGTTATTTCCTCTTCCTTTTATATTGAAGGATTGTTGTCCTGTCTTATGCTGCATTTTTTGTGAGGAAGAATTTATGTGTTTTATGGGTTTCCTTAAACCAGAAAATGACATCAAACAGCAAATAATATTTGTTGTGCATGATTGGGTAAGGGAGCTTGAATTTGGCCAATTTTCATGCACTTAGAAACCTAAACATTCAAATGTAATATGAAGTTTATTATTCCAGAATTATGTAGAGATGGTGTAAGTATGGTAGTTGTTGTAATAGACTCTCTCAACGTCAATATTAGAAAAATCTGTCTTAGTTCACTTGGTTGTTGCTATAAGTAGGCTCACATCAGAGAGCTTGAGGAAGAAGTGAAGCTTCTACAGAATCTCTCCCATCCTAACATTGTTGTGAGTATTGAGACTGGTCTTCTGTTTATTAACTGAACTGATGAAGTTTACCACAGTTCTGACATTGCAAGTCATTTCTGGTCCTCAGAGATATTTGGGTACAGTTAGGGAGGAGGAAACCTTAAATATTTTGCTTGAATTTGTCCCGGGTGGATCAATATCATCTCTTTTGGGGAAATTTGGATCCTTCCCTGAGCCAGTAAGTCTTCAATTCTTTGCCAACTGAGCTTGTTCATAGTACATGACTTGGGCTAATCATGCGTGTTAATTTGAACAGGTTATAAGAGCCTATACCAAGCAATTATTGCTGGGGTTGGAGTATTTACATAACAATGGAATTATGCACAGAGACATCAAGGTAGCTTTGAAGTTTAAATTTCCTTCCCTTGATGCTACATGTGAGAAAAGGTCTTTAGCCTTTTTCTCTTCTCTCTTTTTATTTTTTGAGCAATGACATGTCTTCTTCATGTACTTCTAGGGAGCAAACATTCTTGTAGATAATAAAGGGTGCATTAAACTTGCAGATTTTGGTGCATCAAAACAGGTCGTTGAGCTGGTATGCACATGGTTGATCCACTTTCTACTATTTTTACCTTGTTCTTTATGTTGTAGGAAGTATTTCCTAAAATCACTTCTAATATTTATATCCAACTAATTGAGACCTTTGTCACTGTAGGCAACTGTTTCAGGGGCCAAATCGATGAAGGGCACGCCATACTGGATGGCTCCTGAAGTCATTCTGCAGACGGGGCATGGCTTGTAAGGACAATTAAGTTCCTCTGAAATTTTATATGATTACATTATTCTTATAAAAGTATGGTACCCTCTGAATTAGGTCCCGGATTTCCTTTTTCAGGTTTTTGTTTTGTACATCTTGACAGGAAAAAAACATTTATTGATAGAAAGACTGGAGAATTTAGGTTTAGAAAGATGTCAAGCTGAGAAATGAACAAGAGGAACAAGTATAAACTTAGTTATAGATATGTTCCTGAGAGCTGACATTAAATGGTACAAATTACATTGTTTTAAAAAGTCCTGGAATCTTAAGAGGCCTTGGATGTGCCTGCTTATTCCAGATTATTGCTTTTGCTAAAGTGTACGTATATTCTTAAAGACAGCTGTCTTTTTCTCTACCCGTGTGTCCAATAGAGTATCTCCTTGTGCCAAAATCTATTATGATTTTGTCAGGGCATTTACCTCTCATATCCATTTTACTATATATAAGAAACAGAAAATAATTTGCATGAGTTATGAAGGACTGGGTAAAAAACGAGTCATGAAGAAAGCTGTAGCAATGAAAGCAAAGTGCCATGCATACCTATTAATATAGAAAAAACCAATCGTTTTATAAAATCCCAGAATCCAGAAGCTTCTTGTGGTTGAATTTCACTAGAATATCAAACAAAATTGTCTTGGCATTACCTCTGTTGCAATAAAATAATTTCTATTGGACATTAGATGACATGGCATAAATATTGAAGGATCTAGTTGCATAGCTTATATTCTTGATTATTGTGATCTGTTTAATCCAGAAGCTTCTACAGCTAATTCTCCGCCATGTGTGCCATATGCTAAAACATAAAAGGTTTATATGAAGGCTTTGAAGAGTTTAAGTGAAATCATGGTATTTGAATTTTCTGGTCTGTGCATAATGTATCTAAGTGCTTCTTCATCTATAAGTAACATGATAAGTTGGGAATTTTTCTTGATTGTTTAAATTATAAAACTGAACTTTACTGATATACTGTAAAACAATTCCCCAGCTCTGCTGATATATGGAGTGTTGGATGCACAGTCATTGAGATGGCAACTGGAAAGCCTCCTTGGAGCCAACAATACCAAGAGGTACCTAATTTTCTAGCTCTTGAGCATGTGTATATATGGTATTCCATAAGGTGCTTTCCAATATATTTCACTAACAATGTTTCTGTTAGGTTGCTGCACTCTTTTATATAGGGTCGACGAAGTCTCATCCGGAAATCCCTGGGCATCTCACTCCAGAGGCCAAAGATTTTCTGCTCAAGTGCTTGCACAAGTACTGTTTCTGTTGCCTTTTTTGCTTTTATTTTGAGCAATATCGATATGAGATTTACAATGACTTAGATGCTTCATCCTTTGGGGTTTAGCTCTCTTAACGTGAAATAGGCAGGTAGTGATTGTGAAGATCATAAGTTCAAATCCTATCAACAAAAATTGCGGGTTGCATTCTTACTTTAAAATAAACATTCAACCCTCGGATACAATTGGTACGCCCACTAATGTCTTTTTCCTTCTGAATCTCATTGGCACGGAATTTTTAATGCAGGGAACCAAATATGAGGCCAGAGGCATCTCAATTGCTGCAGGTGATTTTAATGTTATTTACTGTCTTCTATTTATTTGAGCACATTGTAGGTAGCGGGATCTTTTATGTGTTCTAATACATTTGTTTTATTGCTGGCTAGTATTTATCAACATTTCATTACCCTAAATTGTTCTTAATTGCAGCATCCATTTGTTACTGGGGAGATGGGCACATCTGATCATGTTATTCATAGTCCAGTCATGGTTGGTATAGTTGGACCTGATTCTGTACTCTGATTTTCATGCATTCTTTGATTTCATGTTTTTAATGGAAGACCATTACCTTCAGGAACACTCTGGAATTCCTTTGCAGTTATACACCACTAACCCTGAAACCATGTAAGTACCTTTGTATATTTTTCCTTTCTGTATTAATACATTTGAGTGTGCTGAACTTGTAGAGGTTTCTTAAAATATCAAAAAAATTTGTTGCCAGTCAAATGCCATCTGCCCATGACTCAATGGATGTCTGTAATTTGGGTAGTCTAGGCTGCTCAATTGATCTGAAGAAACTGTCTGAATGTAAGGATGCATGGGAAATACCGAACAGCAATGATGACATGTGTCTGATAAGCCATGATTTTTCTATAGATGAAATAAAGCTCAATTCTCGTTTGAGTTCTAATGACTTCAATAAGGTGAGAAACTGCTTTGAAATCATTCCCATTGCTGGTGTAGCTTTTTAATCATCTGGCAGCTTTATTATTGTACAGTTTATTGAAAATTGTGCTTTGTTTAGAGTTCTGATCCCAAATGCGAGTTGTCTGGAGAGTGGAGGTGCAAATTTGATGAGAGTCCAGAATTGGAACAAGCAGGAAGCAAAGTGGACACTGGTAAACCTGTTCAAGTGGACCAAAATATTTCATTTTCCTGTGGGGCATCGCTTTCTGAGGATGATGAGGAACTTACTGAGTCAAAAATTAAAGCTTTTCTTGGTGAAAAGGTGCTACTGCTTATCTCTGATGTTGAAAATTATCCATTTCCTTCTGTTGTTTGGATCAGGATTTACAGCATCTTGATATTCAATTGTAATTTTATTTCTCAGGCTTTAGAACTGAAGAAACTGCAAACACCTTTATATGAAGAGTTCTATAACAGTTTGAATGCATCTTTCTCTCCAAATTTTGGTGGAAGTTCACGTGATGAAACTCCTCCAAATTACTTGAAATTACCTCCTAAAAGCAAGTCACCCAGTCGGATCCCAGTTGGAAGTCCATCCACAGCATCTGATGCTGTTAGTACTGGAAGTCCTGGGAGTAATAGACGTGCATCTAATGTTGGCAATGCAAGTGATGAAGCTTCAGAGGACAATTCATCCCCTCGGAGCAATGACTGGAAAGGGCTTCAAGTTGATGGTCAGCCAGAAACAAGTAGCCCAAGGTTAGCCCATATGTCTCATCCTTAAGCTTGTGCTTCCATGATTCTCTTTTCAGTGTGAATTAATCTGATTTGCTACTCACAGTGTGAGCTTTTCTGAGAGACAAAGGAAGTGGAAAGAAGAGCTCGACCAAGAGCTTGAGAGAAAGAGAGGTAGAGTTTTCTTGCTTTTCCCTGTGTATTTAAGTATCAACTAATTAATAGTACTCTCACATTTCTCAACTCCGATGTTTTTCTGTTTCACGTGCATTCCTTCAAGGATACTGTTTGGGAAATTATCTGCACTGCAGTCACCCGTCTCTGAATTTTCATTATCCGTCAACTGAATTTCTGTTTTGACATTGTGCTTAGTTAACATAGGCTTGGGAATGTGTTTAGATTAGCTTATTAAGTTTTTTCTATGCTGTCTAAAGAACTTGTCTGGAAAAAACAAGATACATGCGAAGAATTCGTTGAGACAAGTGTATCTGATTTTATTTCCCCCCTCCTCATCCCAAAAAAAAAAAGGGGGTAGCTTTGGCAATCACACTTGACTTCTATGATTTTGGAAAATATTCCATGATTGTGAAAACTATGCATGCAGAGATGATGCGCCAAGCAGCCGTGGGAAGTAAGACATCGTCCCCCAAGGATAGAGCCTTGGGTCGGCAGAGAGAGCGGACAAGATTTGCATCTCCAAGCAAATGATTGCTTGCCTAGGCGGATTCCATGTTTCCCCTTAAGAGCTTGAATGCAAGGCTTGCAGTTTCATTAGGAGTGGTAAAAATATGGCTCGGTGTGGAAGGTTTGCCAGATGTGTGAATACTGCAGCAATTTTCTCATTGTTCAGCCTGAATGGTCTTTGTTATATTTGTACCATATAGAGAGCACCGTTGAAAAGAGTGGTAATGTTTGGAGATAATTTTTGTTTCTCCTACTTTTTGAGGGTGGAGATACATGCCTCTCAGGTTTGTAACATCAGTATACAATAATCATATTGAGTGAAATATTCATAAGCTTCTGCAATTTTGCAACACCTTCTACTTCCTTGTGTTGTTCTTTTGATCTGGCAACAATACCTTATTATTCATGCAGCTTCGTAAATTTGACAAAGAGAAGGCTTATCGTACGTAACTGTAATTCCATCTGGGATGGAATGTCCATGTGCAGTGCCGTCTGACATGGCCGAGCGGTCAGGTTACGGGGTGGCCGGCTCAACTTTGCAAGTTGGCTCATCAACCTATTGTTTTTTTATATAAAAATAATTCAATTTTGCATTCTAGTGCTTGGCCTAGCGGTGGAAGGGACTTGTCTTCTTCCACTGCACCTGGGTTCGAGTCCTGGCGTGCACGCCTGTCACCCCCGTGGTGTCTTACATGTCTACTGGATTTGTAGGGTATTCAGTGGGCCGTGGAGATTAGTCGTGGTGCGCGCAAGCTGGTCCGAACACCCCATATAAATTGTTAGGTGATTTCCTGCTTAAAAAAAAAAAATCAGTTTCAAATGAAATCTAGTTAGAGCTAAGTTTTATAATTAAGGATTTAGATATATTCTTTATAGTCAATATGTGACTGACAACTACACTGAGATTTCAGAGTAAATTATCCTTAACCCCTCGGTTTGACTCTTATCATTACTTTAACACCTTCATGTTTGAAAATTATAATATAGTTCATTGGCTCTTGTTATCTTTGTCTTTTCATATATGTTAGTGTTTTTTTAAATCCCAATTGTAACCCTTTGGCAATTTTTAATTTTTAGAGAAAAATCATCTGAGTGGAGGTTCTTGTTGTTTGAGAGTGTCCTAAATAATTGTTTTTTGAAATAATTTTTTATTTATAAATATATTAAAATAATATATATATTTTTATGTTTTAAAAAATTATTTTTAACATTAACACATTAAAATAATTAATATATATATATTTTTAAAAAAATAAAATTTTTAAAAAATGCTATTTGAGCCGGGTTCCCCCTCCCCAAACAGTTGGTGCCTTAGACTGTCCCCACATCAGGTTGGGCTAGAGAATAATTTATTTGAAAATTTATGATTTCTGTGGATTCTATTAGACAACGAGAATCCATTATCACCTTGATGAAATACCTCAAGAATCAACAACGTAACCAACAAACAATTCACACTTGTTTGTAATATAAAAGAATCAACTATGGACATTGATAAAGTGTCTGAAACAGAAACGTCAATCTTCAAACAAACCAAAGGAAAACTAACACCACTCAAATTCTCCCCAGTGAGAACCGTCTCGGTGTTGCTATTGGACGCTGTTTCAGTCCACTCATTATTAACCCCCATCACTCTTCAGCACATTTTTTCTGCCTTTCAATGGAGACACCAATTTGTTGGCCAGCCTTGAAGGTGAAAATGATCGACGCAACTTCGATGCAGCTGACAACTTAGGTGATTTCCTGCTTAAGTTTGTAGGTCTTGTAGGTGATTTCCTGCTTAAGTTTGTAGGTCTTTTAGGTGATTTCCTGCTTAAGTTTGTAGGTCTTGTAGGTGATTTCCTGTTTAAGTTTGTAGGTCTTGTAGGTGATAGGGAACAGACAACTGGTGGGTTCTTGATCTTTACTTGGAATTTTGAACCTGATGGAGGGGACTTAATCAAGAACTTATGTGGGGTTGTCTGCTTTTTGTTTCTTGCAATCACTGGAGACCTTGTCTTGCAAAACTTTTGCTGCAGTGTAGAATCTGTAGAAAGGAACAAAGGGTTTGGAAACAGTACTGTCTTTTTAGCCCATGGCCTATTCCTAGGAGACACTCTGTTTGCCAAATACCGAGCATTTTCTTTATCCACTTCACTCTTCTTAGGAGGTGAAACCTTGAAGTTAATACGCGATCGAGCTCTTAAAAGACATGGAGAACCGGATTCTGATCGAATTGACTGTAATTTAGTTTGCTTTTCCTTCTTCCTTTTGGATTTGAGTTCAGTGTCTTCGGGGTGAGGCCTCTGTTTTCTCTGTTGGGTCACTGGAGTTTTTGGGTCTTCAAGGGTAGATTTCTTGGTTTTGCAGGCAACAGCCGCAACAATTTCTCTTGCAAATTGGCTTGCTTGTAGAATTTCTCCCACTGTTTCACCTACTAGCATTGCTGGTAAAGACATTCGCCGCCATTCGCCTGCATAAAACATTCAAGTCATTCGGATTATTCAATTAGCAATTGTGAGGTGCTTCAAATTTTCAGAAAAGAAATGTCTTTACAACATAATCACAGACAATAACTGAAATCAATGAGAGAGAGATACCTATTGAAGTTGCTGGCAGCTTCCCCACTGGAGATTTCTTAGGGGCAGTACTCTTGATCCTTCAAATTGGTAAGAGTAGAATGCAACACATTTTAGTAAATCTTCACAGAAATTAACAAGAAGAAGCAGAATTTAAAATTTTGATCACAGCTAATTCCTAGTTTACCTTAAAGATTCTTGCTTGCACCTAAGACTAGTTCTTAGATAACCTCTGGTACTTCTAGGACTGAGACAAACCCCATCTATCACCTTGTTCCCACCTGCCACTGTGTATTGAAGCTCTTGTAATCTAGCCATACATCTTTCCACCTTCACAGAATTCACAAAAAAACAAAGCAAACACATTATTCTAGTGGAAGAGGAACATATACAATCAAAACCCAGTTTCAGACAAAGAAAGTTCTGTGTTTGGTCGCTGAGGAAAAAAAAAGAAGGAAAAGAAAAGAAATTTAGGACTGAAAATGACTGAAAATCTGAAAAATCTCAGATAACCAGAGTGCTCCAAGCTAATGGTCCAAATTTGGAGACCGAAAAGTAAGCTTATTGAAAATCGAAGACCCAAACTCGGAAATTATCTCATCTTTTTCTCCAGTTTTCTGGGAACCACACAACCAAAAAGAAAAAGGAGAGGTTGGTGGGATTGTACCATATTTTGAGCTAAAAAACATGTACCTTCTTTACAGTTTCTCTGAGTAAAACTGGGTTGAGAGGAGCCACCATTTTCCTCTGCTTTGGTGGGGCTCTTGCAACCATGATTGCTAACAAACTACACAAGTGGGTCTCTAAGCTCTCTCTCTAAATACCCATTGAACCAGAGACTTCAAAAATGGGGGACAGTTACAAAATCTGGGTGCGTTCTTTACCCAAAAGTCTCTCGGAAGTGATTACTTCCTTTTCTTTGAACATTAGTTTTTTGTCTTCAAAGTTCAGTAGTCAAAACTGAAGGACTTTAGGGCTTAGAATAACGGATATTGTCCTCCAACGGTCTAATCCATCCTTAAAATAAACGCATGCAAACGGCTCCTTCTGCTCTCAGTTTAAAATGATAAAGGGGTATATAGCTATCATTTATTTACTAATAAATGGAAATACTATCGAATTATTTTTCATGGCTATTAAACCAGTGAATATAACTCAAAATTTAACTTGAATTAGATTTTAATTTAAATATATTTTGACATTTACTCGATTAATCTATACGACTCAGCTTAACTATGTTAAAATTAATAAAATTAATTTAAAATAAAAAATTAATTCATATTGATGTAAATTGAACTCTTTGTCCTATCAATCTTATACCAGGCCTGCTAACTATGGTATTTGTTTTCTTTTAATAGTAATAACAGCTTAGCACAATCCAAGTGGATAAGAGTGAACCGTTGATTAATACATGTATGCTAGCTTTGATATTTTCATAATATTTTTAAAGTATTTAATAATTTTATGATTTTTCTCATCATAGTTTACTCGTATGTAATACAAGTGTTAAAGAATCTAATACATAGAAAAGGTCAAAGAAATAAAGGTTTAGATCTGCGAGTTCCCTGAAAAAAGGTAAATAATTATTAAAGCTACATAGTTGTTAATTTTATATTTTAAAAGGGTATTTTTCAATAATAATATTTCATATTGAGAGAATTACAAGTAAAAATTAAAAAATTAAAAAATAAAATAAATATTCTCTTATCATTTTTGCTAGAACATATAGGCGTGTTATTATTATAAAAAAAATTATTGATAAAACATATCTTGTACTGAATTTATTAGTATAGTAGTATTTAAATTATAACTTGCTGATAAGTTTTCTTTTCTCCTTCTTTATTTTTTTTAATTTTCTTAATTGAAATACAAAATAATTTTCTTTTAAGAAAGAAGTTGTTTAGAAAAATTTCATGTTGAAAATCAAAAGAAAATATGAAGTCATGTTCTATGTTATAGATAAATTATTTATCTTTTTATTTATTTATCCAAATTATAGATTCTAAAAATATGATGATTAATAAGATTTTATCTCTTCATTCTTGCCAATTTTATTCGAAATGAAGGAGGATAAAGGTTTAGAGGTAAGGGTTAGAATATAAGATAATTAATTTTCGCATAATTCTATGTTCAATATTTGGTGGATATAAAACATGCATTAATCCCATTCAATGGAATTTTTTTTTTAATTCAGAACGAATGAGAAAATTAAAAAATAATTTACCCTGATTTCTAATTTTCTCTATTAAAATTAGGGGTCCCCATCAATTTAAATGGGTTAATTTGAATATAAAAATCCAATCGAATTTTTTTATTTAAAAAATAATTTAAACTAAAAAAAATAACGGAAATCTATTCGGTTTTATATTATTAATAATAAAAAATTAAATATTTTAGTTAATATATTTCTAACAGGTTTTGATTTAATAGAATTTTAATTTATAATAAACCTTAATTTTGAGGAGGTTTTCTTTGTTTAGATTGGATTTTGAAACTAAAACCAAACCAAATGAATTTTTTTAAAAATAAATTTTAATAAAAATAATTAAAAAAATAAAAAAATCCATTCAGTTCAATTAATTTTAAGTCAGGTTACATGAATATTTCAGATAATTCGGTTAATTAACCCATGAGAATTATCTATTTACCTCATAATTAGCAATAATTGGGTGGGCTAGGATCCTAAATGGGCCATAACCCGAATAAAAAATCCAATTCCAGAATACCCGAGTCTGCTTGACCCGAGATAAAACCCGTGAAGGGTTTCCGTTTTGGAGTTTTTAGAAACAGTAAAA